GACAATGAAAGTCGGAGTCGGGGCTTGAACCGTCAACCCTTCGATTACAGGGCAAACTCCTCCATCCAACGCCACTGTATGAGAGTCAAGATCATGCCCAACCCTAAATCCTCCTCCATGTTTACAGCCCTCATGGCACACCTTTTTATGAGAGGATTGTTTTGAGGATAAAGTCCTTTTCTTCTGTGGCCCAAAGACTAAATCTACCTTCTTCCATCTCTTAGGTCAGAGTACCAGTATCAGTGGCTTCTTTTAAAGGCCAATTAAAACTTCATAATTTGCTTAAATGTTGTTTTATTGTAATTTTTTGTTTGTTTGTTTATTTGTTGAAGCACATTGTTATTTTTCTCTTAAAATGTGCTATATAAATAAAATTTTACATAATTATCTACTTACTTTCACTCATTTTGGACATCTAACTTTGCATCCCTGGCTTATTATAAGACTGTGGTCTTGCTTTGACTGATTACTGATGGCCATTTTACTGAAATTGCTTGTAAAAATCTTTTGTCTGCATGTCCAAATACATGTATTTTTGGCACAAGAGTAAAAAAGAACTTGTACATTTTAATAATACGCTTTGTCCTTGCAATCACACAATTAGTTTTTTTGCTAAACATAAAGAATCTGACAACATTTATATAATCAGACATTGATAGTGATTCCCTAACCACTGATCTGTCATGGTCTTGGTTCTGTTGTACTTTACTCCTTGTTTTCTAGTTTTATTGGTTTAATTCCAGTTTTGTTGTAATTTCTAGATTTGTTAGTTGTCATGTTTTTCTGTTGTTCTCTGTAGCCCTCTTGTGTGTGTGTGTTCCTTTCCCCTTGGCTCCCTCGGTGTCTCCTCTCACACCTGCTCCTTGTCAGCTCGTTAGCCCTCCCTTTGTCTCTGTCAGTTATTTATACTCTCCTCTGCTGTCACTCCTTGTTGGTTCCTTGTCATTGCTGTCCTCCCATGCTGTTTTCTACCTCCCTCATCTCTCCCTGGCTCCTCGTGTTTGATTTCCCCAGATTCTGGTTTGATTTACATTATTAATCAGATTTTTGGATTCCTGCCTTTGTTTTTCTGTTTTATCATCATTAAAACTGCAAGAAATCTCCTCAGCCTATCTGCCTCTGCATCTGGGTCCTCAAACCTCAACCAAACCCTGACACTGATGACTGTAAACTATGTTTTCAATCAAACATACTCTCTGAAGGGAGTAGTACACACCGTTATAGGAAATCTTCAATTTCTTAGCAATTTCTCGCATGGAATAGCCTTCATTTCTGTAGTCCACCAGTAAGTAAATCTGCATAATTACCATCCCGATTATTCCATATAAGTCTACGAATTTCCACGCCTCTGTGAATGAACGTGCTGGTCTTTATTTATAGAAATGGCATTGAAGATTATGTTTTACACCTATGCAAGACCTTTTTATTTCATACAAACAATGTAATGTGCATATTGTGACAGTTAGGCCACTTCCTTTTGTCCTTAACTTATTTATTACTCATTAGGGAGTTTTTCTCTCCACTGTTGCTTGGTGAAAGAAATAACTGAGTCAATGACACAATGTAAAAGACTCTCTACTGTCATCTCATGCTCATCCAGGAGAAATGAATTCTTTGTAGCCAATGGCTCAATGTAATCAGTTGGGTTTTTCGTAAATAGAAAACTTTTAACTTAGACAGCTTTTATTGTCATTTCCTATACCCAGAGTGTATTCAAAATGAAATTTCGTTTTGTACAGCTTTCATAGCATTTCGATTCCTTAAAGTGCAGCAATGATCAAATGTTAACTGTGTGGGAGGAAAAAAGCATGGTG